AGTATTATCTGGATCACAGCCTGTAAGTCAAGTCACAATATATATATTGTGAAGGGGTGAGAGGGGAAGAGAAAGGGAGATGCAGGGGGAGGATTCTATGAGATCTGTTTGTCTAGAGAACCCTGACTAATACACATATTTTCATGGTCCCTGTGGAGGCTTTCCAATTTTCCCATTTTTGAGTTAGGCCTTCGACCCTCAGGCCAGTACAAGTGGTACCGATAAAAGCAGCATCTAAATTGGTTGCCATTTTCTCATCTCCTGCTGTTACAAAGCATCTGTTTGCTTTCTGTTAAAGGTACTTACTCTTTCTTAGGCTCACAAGCATTTTTTTTTAATTTTTAAAGAAAAATGTACCTTTTATATAAGTAAATGTTTTCTTTCTCAATATATTTTGGGTATATTAAACACTTGTTTAAATAAAAATTCAAGAATATTCTAAAATAGAGCACTATATTGATAGATAATAACGGCTTAGAATGTATCTATTATTATGTATCTACATACATACACATTACATATTTTAGGGTATTCTAGGATAAAAGCTCACCTCCTGGTGAAAAAACTTACCAATATCTGAGCATAAAAACCCACCAATTCCTGGCCCTGCTCCAAGTACAGGACTTGAAATTTCCCAACCTCCACCCTGGAAATCTCCTTCCCCAATAAACCCTATGTAAGTCTGTCCCCTAATGAATTCCCGGCTGGCTAGACCAGAGACAGCCACTTCCTTCACCCTCTTGTGTGAGGTTTGTTTTGGGGTATGACTTTGTGATATTCATTGGCTTCCAACTGCCAAGATAGTTTCCCCTTCAGAGCCACAACAGTTATATAGGAGAAACTGTCCCTCAGACATGTACATTGGGGGATTTCCCCTTAGAGCTGCAACATTCAGAGAAAACTTTCCACTCAGAGCTGCAATACTTAACACACATGAGAGTCGAAGGCTTCTAAAAATTAAGATGAAAATATACAAAAATCAATTCAGCTTTTATGAAATAGAAAGCCAGAAGCAAGTAAGAATTTCAACTATAACTGTGTCTGGTATATTCCTCAGGGCAAGCTCTTAACTTCCTCAGACTTACTTTTTTCCTGTATTTTAATAAAATGTGTCATACAAGTAATATAAATTACAACTCGTATATGACGTGCATTTTTAAGTTTAAAATAATACCAAGCAAATCAACTTGGGTAAAATTTCTGTGGCCACAAAGGTAATATTGGATTCAGCTTATATGTTCAAAAACTGCTAAAGGATATTAAGTAAAATTACATTCTATCTCAATGTGATCATTTTTTCAAGGAACAAATAGATGTTAAAAACAAAACTCACAGTAGATAGGGATTTCAGAAAATCAAAGTATTCAGAACATGGCAGGTGCTTGCATGAGGTTGTACAATCAGAATCTCACAGACCCAGACAAAGGAGGATGACAGTGGACCTCACGATGGAGAGTGAGTATGCTTCAACAGATATTTCAGCATCCAGAAAACATAAGAAAAACTCCCAAACACCAAGCTCTGATGCCTTGCAAATCTGTCTTGCCCTGCCAGTCTGGACATACAGAAGGTATTTATAATCACTTCTTAGATGGCTGATTTGTTAGTATGTTTGTATTTCAAGGTATTTTCAAGGTAACATTCAATTGTATTTCAGTAATTTGTTTACATAAATGAATAATGAAAATATATGATGAAAAGAACACCCCCCACCAGAGTAATCTGTATAGTTATAACAGTTGCAGACTTCTGGGGAACACAGAGTCCATTTTCAGTAAGCTGCAACTCCTGGTGCATCACCTATGGTCCAGTGGATGGGTCCACACCTATGAGCATATGGCCAACACAAATTGGATACCCTTCATCACAGAAAGGACACAAAGTTAGAAGGAGTGGGTAGGCTGGAGGGTGAGAGTATGAGACTTTAGAGACAATTATGATCAAATTGAGTTCTACATTATTAAATGAATTTACCAAATAATAAATATATTATTTAAAATATAAGATAGATAAGAAAATGTACAACATAGTCAACTTTATTCATATAACAAGAACAGGACAGCATGTCTAAAAAACACATCTACAGAGCAAACAATATTGCTATACAATGATGGAACAAAGGATGATTTCTTATTCAAAGGTGAATGAACATTCCTGAACATTTATAAATCTTCTAACCTAATCCTAGCACTCAGGAGGCAAAGGCAGGTGGATCTCTTTGAGTTTGAGGCCAGGCTGGTCTAGGACAGTCAAGGCTAAACAGAGAGACTCTGTCTTAAAAAAACAAGGCAACAACAACAATTAAAAAATCTTCTGAATTAAAAATAGAGATTTCTTTTTGACATATTCCCAAATCACCAAAGAAGATATATTCTATTTTGAGACCCTCATGCATTTATTTTCTTTTAAAAATATTTTAAAACTTGTGTGTATGCCTGAGAGAGAGACAGAGAGTTTGTGTGTGTGTGTGTGTGGGGGGGTGTGGGTGTGTGTGTGAATTTGTGTTCATTCTTGTCAGAATGGGAACCAGGAGACAACCTAGTGTGTTGTCCTCAGAGACACCATTCACATCATCTGGGATATAGAGATTTTAACTGTCCAAAGCTACTAATTTATTAGGTTATACTCAATGATGAGTGCATCCCAGGGATCAATTATTTCTTCCTCTGCCCAGTATCAGAATTACAAACACATATCACCATCTAGGCAATTTTACCTGTGTTCTAGGAGTCCAACCCAGAATCCATGCTTGAAAGGTAGCACTGCTAAGGGCTAAGGTAGCCACTGCTAATGGCTAAGTTCCTATCTCATGATTTATTTTTCAGGTTCGGAATGTATTTTAATGATACACTAAACTTATTAATTAAATATTCATGTTGTGGAAGCTAGAAAAAATTATGAAAGGCTCTAGCAAAAAGATAAAGTAGATGTTTTATTTGAAATATTTGGTCTCAATTGCTATTGAAAATATTTTTCAAGAACTTTCTCCAAATTTTCAGGAGTGCCATAGACTATGTTTCAAAGATCAAGAGATATAGCCATACAGTAATTAACATTTTTACAAAATAAGGAATATCACTTAATGTCATATAAAAATAATTTTGATTATGCATTTATCCAGGTTGAAAAAATGCATCAATTAAAAAGATAAATATATTAAATATTACATCCACATATAAAGAGAGAATTACTTCATGGTCATGACCAAAAGAGTTAAACAAGCATAGATTTACTTAAAATATTCCATCTGTAGGTGTTGGGAGCTATGCAGCCTAGTCTGGGATAGACATATGACAACCTGTCTCACCGGTTTCCTTGGGGCGAGGCACCAATGGAATCAGACTCTCATGTGGCAAGGATCAAGTAGTCCACAGGACAGCACAGGAATGTGGAAAATCCATACAACTTCCAGACTCTTTTCTCTGTCATTATACTACCATTCTTTGGGCACATTTTAATTTTAGTTTGTCAGTCACACATGCAATAGCTGAAATCTTCCCAAGAAATCCTGTTGTTTCTTGAATATTTTTCCTTAAGATTTATCAGGGGGATAATGTTTCTCAAATCTCTTATTTGGAATTACTAATTACAACTCCTAATTCCCTACTTTTCTGACTCAATATAGACAGGTATATAATAGAAAATAACACTTGCAACACTGACCATGTCTCACAGTACTGGTGAGGAGAGTAAGGCATGCATATACAGAATAGAGGGAAAGCCTCAGGAATATGCATTGTGCCAACATTTGAGAGTAAGTTCTCTGATCACAAAGCATATGGAAGCATAGACAAAATCTAGTATGATCCAATGGGAGAAGTGCAATGTAAAATATAGGATGGAGAGATCCATCATTACCATACACAGGAGTTTATACTGGTTGAAGAAGTATGGTATATGGACCTTTTTCCATGGGGCTGTGGGGAATCCTGTTCCTCTTCAGCCAAGGCTGGAGGCCAAGATCAATCTATGAGGAGAATCTTCATCAGGATTCTCATGATCAGGAAGCCTTGTTTTCTGCCCTCAGACATAGGAAAGAAAGAAAGAAAGAAAGAAAGAAAGAAAGAAAGAAAGAAAGAAAGAAAGAAAGAAAGAAAGGAAGGAAGGAAGGAAGGAAGGAAGGAAGAAAGAAAGAAAGAAAGAAAGAAAGAAAGAAAGAAAGAAAGAAGGTATAGTGGGATGGGAAAAGGGTGCCTTATCAAAGTCTGCCTTTTACAGAGAGATTGAGACATAGGATCCTCTTGTAGAAAAGTGAACTCCATAAAAGTGTATCTTGCAGACAAGAAAGAATTGTTTGAGTTTAAATATTATTTTCCTTAAAGCATTGTGCCTATGTATATTACATTTTAACTTTGTAACTACAACAGCTGCAAGCTGGCATAAGTATTGTGAGAGCAGTATGTGTCTGGCTTGATATTTAGTTAAGCCTGAAAAAATACTTAAATAGCTGTTGTAAGGATAAGTCTTTCTGCCAAGTGGCCAGAGCCCTGCCACCATGTGGGTGCTTTCTGCCAGCTGCCCGGGTTCCACCCAAGTACTGCCTGCAGTGTTAGGGCCCCAAATACTGCATAGAGATTTAAATTAGTTTCAAATGCTGCTGGGCCAAGGATTTCTTATCTGCTAGCTCAGTCTTAATTATCAGACATAAACATAAGACTTATCTTATGGAGAATGCTGGCAGTAAACTCCCTCTCTTGCTGGTGGATCACATGGTGGCTCCATAGAGAAGACAGCCCAACAGGAAGAGGAAGAGCAAGAGAGATTTCCTGCTTATATTCTGAGTCTGCCTACTATGCCACTTCCTGTGTGTGTCACAATATTTTACTATATTTCCCAGAATTCTCCTTGACTCCTAGTCCCTCCTAACTTGGTTCATCATTGGCCAACAGTACTTTATTCAATAACTAATAGGATAAACATACACAGACTGACATTTGTATGGGGTTGAAAAGTACATTTTGGGAAGCATAAGGGAACAATGGACTCTGCCAGCCTGACCCTTACCATGGTGAGTGTACCCTCTGCTCCTGTCCTATTCCTACCCAACTTCCCATTCACCCAGGATCTCTCAGGGCCTGTGCCTGCTTAGAGGAGACCCACACAGAAAGGGAGGACCTCCCTGAGTCTGGAAACACCTAATTCTTCCTTCCCCAACCCTTACCAAGGGAGGAAAGTACCAGGAGAGGCAAGACAATCCAGAGGTGCAGACATTGAAATCTGGGACCCCACACACCACCAGGTGGCAAGAGAAGATGGATAATACCCACCTCCACCCACTTGAAGAAGACATTGGAAGAAGACGGAACAAGAAAACACTCAAGAACAGAAAAACCAATATGACACCACCAGATCTAGTTACTTCACACCTTCAAGATCTGAAAAGTCCAACATAGAGGATGAAGAAGAGATGGTCCTGAAAAATTATCATAGGAAGATGATAGAGACCTTTAAGAGGAAACAAGAAAAAAGCTTAAAAAATAGAAGGAAAAACAAGCAAACATTACATGAAATGGAGGAAGAGACAAATAAAATATTCGAGAAATAAACAAATCTCTTATAGAATCTAAAGAAAGCCAAGAAAAAACAACCAAACAAGTGAAGGAAGCACTCCAAAGAGTTCAAGGCATAAAAGCTGAAATAGAAACAATAAAGAAAACACAGAATGACAGTATGCTGGAAATAGAAAGGCTGGATATATGATCAGGAACTAAAGATGTGAGTATAACCAATAGAATTCAAGAGATGGAAGACAGAATCTCAGGTGTTGATGACTCTCTAGGGGATATTGAGTTATCAATGAAAGAAAATCTCAAGTCCAACAAATCCCTAACACAAAACATCCAGGATATATGGGACACTATGAAAAGGCTGAACATAAGAATAATAGGTATACAAGAAGGTAAGGAATACAGATCAATGGTACAGAAAACATATTCAACGAAATCATAGAAGAAAACTTCCCCAAACTACAGAAGGTTATGCCTATGAAAGTACAAGAAGCTTACAGAACACCAAACAGACTGGACCACAAACAGAAGTCCCCTCGACAAATAATAATCAAAACATCAAACCTATAGAATGAAAGAGCAGAAAGGAAAAAGGCCAAGTAACATATAAGGGTAGAAATATCAGAATCACACCCGACTTCTCCATAGAAACTTTGAAAGCCAGAAGGTCCTGGATAGATATCCTACAAACAGTAAGGGAGGATGAATGCCAACCCAGACTACTTTACCCAGCAAAACTTTCAATCACTATATATGGAGAAACAAGATATTCCATGAAAATACCAGATTTAAACAATACATATCCACAAATCCAGCACTACAGAAAATTTTGGAAGGAAAACTCCAACCCAATGAAGATAACTACACCCATAAAAACATAGGCAATAGATAATCCAATTTTACAAAACACTAAAAGAAACAGGAGGGCAAAATCCATACACAATGATACCACCAAACAAAAATAAATAAACAGAAAGAAACAATCAAGGGACATTAATATCCCTCAATGTGAACGGTCTTAACCTGCCCATAAAAAGATACAGGCTAACAGAATGGATACGTAGACAGAATCCATCCTTCTGCTGTATACACGAAACATAACTGAACTTCAAAGAAAGGCCTTACGTCAAAGTAAAGGTTGGGAAAATTTTCCCCATCAAATGGGCCCAAGAAACAAGCTGGTGTAGCAATCCTAATATCTAAATTGGGATTCAAATATCTAAATTAGATTTCAAACTAAAATCAATCAAAAGAGATGAAGAAGGGCATTTCATACTCATCACAGGAAAAGTCCATCAAGATTAAGTCAATCCTGAACACATATGCCCCAAATATGAAGGCTTCCACATTTGTAAAAAAAAAAAAAATTACTAAAGCTCAAACCACATATAAAAACAGACACACTTATAGTAGGAGTCTTCAACACTCAACTTTCACCACTAGACAGGACCACCAGACACAAACTTAACAAAGAAACAAAGGATCTACCAGAAGTTATGGCACAATTGGGATTAACAGATATCTATAGACCATTTCATCCAAACACAAAAGAATATGCCTTCTTCTCAGCACCACATGGAACCTTCTCTAAAATTGACCACATACTTGACAACATAGCAAACATCTACAGATGCAAATTAATTGAAATAACCCCCTGTATCTTATCAGACCACCTGTATCTTATCTTTAAAGATAGAATTAAACAGCAATACAAATTCTACAAACTCGTGGAAATTGAATAACACCCAATTGTACCATTCCTGGGTAGAGGAAAAAATAGAAAAAGAAATTAAAGGCTTCCTAGAATTTAATGAAATGTAGACACAACATACCCAAACTTATGGGACACACTGAAAGCCTAAGAGGAAAGTTTATAGCATTAAGTGCTCATATGAAGAAACTGGAGAATAGTCACATGAAAGAATTGACAGAACAATTGAAAGATTTAGAGCAAAAAGTAGCAAACTCACCAAGGAGGAGTAGATGCCAGGAAATAATCAAATTGAGGGCTGAAATCAAAAAATTAGAAACTAGGAAAACATTACAAGGAATCAATGAAACAAAGCGGTGGTTCTTTGAGAAGATCAAAAAGATAGACAAATCTCTATCCAAACTAATCAAAAGGCAGAGAGCGTGCTAATTAATAAAATCTGAAACGAAAAGCAGGATATAACAAAAGACACTGAGAAAATCCAGAGAATCATCAGGTCATAGTTTGAATATCTGTACTCCACAAAATTCGAAAATCTAAAGGGAATGGACAATTTTCTGGATAGATATCACTTACCAAAATTAAACCAAGAACAGATAAGCAGTTTAAATCCATCTATAACCCCTAATGAAATAGAAGCAGTCATCAAAAGACTCCCAACCAAAAAAAGCCCAGGGCCAGATGGCTTCACTTCAGAATACTACCAAAAACTCAAACAAGAGCACAAGAGCGAATACCAGTACTCCTCAAATTGTTCCACATGATAGAAGCAGAAGAGACATTGCCAAACTCTTTTTACAAGGCTACAATCACTTTGATACCAAAGCCATACAAAGGTTCAACTAAAAAAGAGAACTACAGACCAATATCCCTTATGAATATTGATGCAAAACTACTCAACAAAATATTGGTGAATCGAATCCAAGAACATATCAGAAAAATCATCCACTGTGATCAAGTAGGCTTCATCCCAGGGATGCAAGGATGGTTCAACATACGAAAATCCATCAATGCAATCCACCATATAAACAAACTCATAAAGAAAAACCACATGATCATCTCACTAGATGCTGAAAAAGCCTTTGACACAATCCAACAACCTTTCATGATAAAGATCTTGGGGAGAACTGGAATAACAGGAACGTATCTAAACATGATAAAAGCAATATACACCAAACCAACAGCCAACATCAAACTAAATGGAGAGAAACACAAAGTGACTCCTATAAAATGAGGAACAAGTCAAGGCTGTCCACCCTCTCCATATCTCTTCAATACTGTACTTGAAGTTCTAGCTAGAGCAATAAGAACAGAAAAGGAGATCAAAGGGATACAAATTGGAAAGGAAGAAGTCAAACTTTCACTATATGCAGATGATATGATTGTCTGCATATGTGGCCGAAAAACTCTACCAGGGAACTCCTAGAGCTGATAAACACCTTTAGTCAAGAAGCAGGATACAATCTTAACTCAAAAAAATCAGTAGTCCTACTATATACAGATGATAAATTCTATGAGAAAGAAATCAGAGAAACATCACCTTTCACAATGTCCACAAGCAATATTAAATATCTTGGGCTAACTCTAACCAAAAAAGTGAATGACCTGTACAGTAAAAACTTTGAGTCTTTAAAGAAAGAATTTAAAGAAGATACAGAAAATGGAAAGATCTCCCATGCTTTTGGATAGGTAGAATCAACATAGTAAAAATAACACTCTTGCCAAAAGTAATCTACAGATTCAACACAACCCCCATTAATGGAGGAGTGTTTCTTTTTCTCCACATCCTCTCCAGCATAGATTGTTATTGGTGTT